TGTTAGCTACATACATACATAGATACATGATGATTATCACCTCATTGTCTAGGATGACCACCATAAGATATTTAAGATCTAGTTTTGCTCTGAACGGATGTAGCTCTTTAAATCGGACAAATTTTTAAAACCTATAGTACAAATTTGGCAGATGTCATTAGGTCTATTTATGCGATTGTTTGCATGTCTTTTCAGCCCAGCGGGTGGCTTGCAAACATTTCCATAAGTGTAACATAAATTCTCAGTATATAATGTCATTTTGTAGTTGGTCGGTGCTCTGGTAGGAAGGCTTCCAACATTACTGAATGTTTCTGTTTTGTTCAAGCAAAGCCTACTACATGCATACATAATTGGACATGCTAAGAGGTGAACAAAAAATTGTAGAGTTACTAAAAGGGAAATAACTGAAGTGAGATATCAAGAAAATGCATGGAACATGGAACTAGAAAAACCTACCCCGTGGACTAAATAAAGGGTTCGATTCGAAATTCCAACGTATATCGCGTGAAGAAGGCCGGAGCGTACATTAGCCGAAACGTCGTATATATGACAATAAAGATGATAACAACAGTCAGAACAATTTAAATAGTGCAAACAGTAAAAATACCTTCAGAAATAGATAGATAGATAGATAGATAGATAGATAGATAGATAGATAGATAGATATGAACCTAAAGAAAGGAAGTATAAATGAATGAATGAAAATAAGAAAAGAAAGAATATATTTTAATAATTCTTTTCCTTTTATTATGTTCTTTTTTTCGGCTGACCTGAATGCAGCAGATTGCACCTTAAAAGAACCCCGCGCATACTCAGTGCGTGTCATTCAATTGACGAGAACATTAAGAAATAAAAGTCAACCCGCATGACCTTTTAGGCTTCATTCTGAACCCACTTCCGAATCTTTGTCAGAAGATTTGACTAGAAAGCAATCATGATAATTAATAAAAAAAAAAAATAAAGTTCCCAGAGATAAGAAATGGGTCAGCATTTGTCAGCACGGAAGAATGTATCGAGAGAATAAATGAGAATGGCGAAAAGGTGATGGTTGTAAAGTACGAGAAGAAACGAGACGTTAACGAGAAGTGAATATATAATGTTTAAAACCATAATTACTTCTTTCTTTTTTCCGATAACGAGATATTACTTATTGATATGTCATTTGATTCATAAACATAAACATATTTATATTTTTGTGTAAATCAATAAATGCACAGATGTAAATATCTATTTATGCTATTCGATGTTTATTGTCATCAGGAAACAAGTTAGATATACAATTTATGCCCAAAATTATGAGTGATATATTTTTACAAATAATGAAAAAACTACATTTATGATTCATAAGAGTGCAGTAGTAACGATGAGAGCTTATAAAACAGGGAACAATTTAAAACAGGATTCTTTTGCGCCAACAACAATTACTCGTCTGATAGAAAACTCTGAAACCACAAAGACGCTGCATGATATTCCTGCATGGAAGACATTCCTTCAAGTAGAATTGTTTTTTTTTTTTCTTTTTTTACATTCCCCAAGCAATATAGTACAGCCACGTAAGGGGTTACAAGGTGTACATCAGAAACATAAGTAATTAAATTTTTGCAGATTAAACATTGCATTTAAATTTTGGAAAAGTTGGTTGGAAAGCATGGAAGCGGAAGGGAGTTCCAGTAACGAGAAGTGCGAGAAAAGAAACTCTTAGTATAGAAGTTACGGCTACATGTAGCTAGCTTAACTGTAAATTTATGGGATCTAGTCTAGTATTGCACTTAAATTTTTAAAAAAAGTCTAGGTACTATAGCGAATAGCTCACCTGAACAATTACCATGAACGTATTTATAAAAAAAGAAAAAAAAGAAAAAAGAGAGGCAACCTTACGGCGGTGGGCAAGTGACTGAAGCCGAGCCGCCAGATCAGGACCAATAATATTGCTGATTCTTCTTTGGATCTTATCAAGGAGGTCCAAGTAAATATCAGGGGCACCGGGCCATATATGCCAGCAATATTTTAAGCGTAGACGAATGGTAGATTTATAGATATGCAAGATAGATTCAAAAGAGAAAAATTGTCCCGCCCAGCACAGTGAACCGATTTTCTTAGCAGCTGACTTAGCAATGGATTCAATATGGTCTTTCCACTTCATATCAGCTGAGAACATTAGCCCAAGAGGTGCAATGTGTCACTCTCCCAGGAGAGTGACACATTGCAAATGTCAGCATCAGCCATGTTGGACGAAGGCAGAGAGGGGTCCCTCAGATGATTAATAGAGAGAAGTTTAATCAGTCTACAACAATAAATCCAAAAAGTGTAAACTCTGTCTGAAGGAGAAAATAGTTATAATTACCTTCCCAGATCAATACAGACTACTAAATAAACGATCAGAACCCATCTCAAAATGCAGGCACGAAAACAATTTTTACTACGTTTCTTAACATTCAAAAACTAAAAACTAAGAAGATTAAATAAAATAAATAAATAAACAAAAATAAGTAAAATAAAATAATCCAAACCAATAAATAAAAAACAAACAAGGAGCGCAAACAAGTAAACAGTATTATAAAAATAAAAATTAAAAAAAACCTGCATCCGGTTCCACAAGCATTTCCACTTAATAGCCCCAAGAATAATAACCGTTAGAATAATACTATAGACTACCCACAATGCATCAGTGACCTGTATATATAAATACTCTAGCAAACAAAAAAAAAACAGCGCATACAGATTGAAGATTGCATTTAAGCCACTGAGTGTTGACTTTACTGTCCACTTTTGTATTTTTATATTTACATACGCTCAATAGCTGATATTAAGCACTTTAACTTAAAACTACATTTTATCATTATAGAATTTCCCTTTTCCTCTGCCGTGCGCTGATATCTCAGTGGCAGAAACTCAGACTGGTGCCAAATCGGTCGGATTTCGATCCCGGTTTGAGACAATCGGATGCCTAGCCGCACTAATGAACTGTGAAAGAGCGAAACAGGCCTGTATGTGAATGACATTATATATATATATATATATATATATATATACACCTTTAATTCGATACAAAAAACTGGGAAAAATCTATTATCAACTTTCGACTTGAAGTAAGATTTATAAAAATACAGAATAAATATTAACGGCTTTTTTTTAAGTCACTCATTTTCTTTCATCTTTAATCACGAGAAACGCCAGCATAAGGTAAAAGTCCCATGATTCATTATTTAAGCAGACACACAAATAAACATACACACATTTATTTCTTTCGTTTTCGGATGAGATGAAGCGAATCGTTTAATCAAATTTAGTTTCAATGAAATATTTTCCATTTGTCTAAGAATATATATATATATATATATATATATATATATATATATATATCAGTATTTCAATAACTATATTTTGCTGCTTTTGGAATGGTTTTTGAGAATTTTCGGCACCCACTATAGATGATTAGAATTTTGATATAATATTGGCTTTGGTTTCTATTTTTTTCTTTTTTTAGGTCTGTATGTTTGTGTGTGTGCGTGTGTGTTTTTTTTTTTTATCTAACTTTTTAGATACAATGAATTTTTCTTATTCAACGCGATTTTTTTTTTAAGAAGACAAATTTAAAAATATTATTTCCAATCGCCATTAATTTCGGCTGTCGTTCTTTTCGTCTAAGAGGAGTCAATACAGACAAAGTGATGAGTTTCCAAATTTTCCTTGTCAGTTAATAATTGTAGACAACACATACCTGCACTCTGTGTGTGTGTGTGTGTGTGTGTGTGTGTGTGTGTGTGTGTGTGTGTGTGTGTGTGTGTGTGTGTGTGTGTGTGTGTGTGTGTGTGCATGCGTGTGTATGCGGGGGGAAAGATGTTGAGAGTGTGTACATTTAAAATATTTAAATGTATCTCAACATCTATCCTTTGCACCCAATCCACAATTGCTGCGACAAAATAAACGTATAATATAAAACGCTTGAGTATATTAATTAATATATAATTATATTAATTAAGATTTGCAGGTGATTCCGAAGTCGCTGGTGGCTGATATTGAAGGCAAAGACGATTTTATTGAATAAATTCACTCTTTACTATATCTATTAAAATGGATATCAGTGTTATTTACACGGCAATTTATACATCACACCCATATATATATATATATATATATATATATATATATATATATATATATATATATATATATATATATATATATAAATATGTAAACAAATGACGTCATACGTTATGAAATGGAAAAAATCCGACAATTATTTAAGACATTTTTTATGTTTATACGTTCTTTTTATAGATACAAAGATTTAAGTAAATGCTCTATTTATAATAAAATAGTATTAACAACATTTACTGGCCTGAATGTTCGAGAATATATATATATATATATATATATATATATATATATATATATATATATATATATATATATACAAAAGAAAATGAGAACGAATTAAATATAAATTCAAACGTTCATAACATTATTTAAATATTTTGTTTTTAATTTTCTGTTTTCGTTATTTTGTTAAATATTTTTCTTGCTTTTCCTTCTTTTATTTCTTAAAGAGACATATTATTTATAAACTCTAAAATAGTTTTTGTTAAATTACGTTGTTTCCTCAGTAAAGTGTCAACCGTTCTTCGTCAACATTGTAGCAAAAATTCTGTTTCAAATATTACATATATATTCGATGCAATTTTGAATCTGTGTTTCATGACATCTTATTTAACATCGACCATTTTGATTGGTTGAACCAATTATCAATATAACATGTCTAGCTACTTTAGATTTTTATTTTTTCCTTATATTTTTTCTCAGACTATATCTTGTGTCTTTCTTTCTTTTTTGCTCTTCTTATTTCTTCTTTTTTTTTTTTTTTCGCTGGAAAAGATGTTGTTTGTAAGTAAATATTAAAAATTGTAATAATCCTCATTTATTACCGCCTGATGAGATGCAATGATATGCATCAAAACATATGTGCATTTATGCAACGGTTTTACACTAATGTTCCTATA